GAGGCAAACTCGACGTCTTCAGGGCCGACGCTCGAGCTGTTACGTCTATATAGTGACATCATTGCGCCCGTCTATGAGATCATATTTTCTCTCTCTCTTTCTCACACTGTGTTCATCTTTCCGCGCCTCGTTGTCCGTTACACTCTCTGCGGCACAATTAAAATCTGCACTGCAATCGTCGCGTTGTCGATATAGTTGGCCGACTTTTCAAACGCTCGCAAATGCACAACGCGTTTAAAGTATATAAAATCGTCTATATACGTATGAGTTCGTACGTGCGAGTATATGTACATATAAAAAAGTGTATATTGCCCGAGAGACCTAGTAAACTTTGACATAAAATACAATAAGAAGAACGAACAACTTTGAAATTAGATTTGAAATAATCACAACGAGGCCAAAAAGCTATTCATCATCTTTTTGAAAGCTGCGATAAGTATCAAAAACTCGTGTGCATACCGGCGTATTTGTGCAAACCCGATTTTTGCATTTCGTAGCAAATATGCACGCAAAGCTCATTTCGAAATCTTCCACCAACGGCAAAGTACACATGTATTTGGGAAAAAACATACGAGCGAATATAATTAACGAGCAAATGAAAGAAACGCATATTAAAAATTGTTCGCTTTGAAGCACCATATTTTCTCTTTCATCTCGCGAGCATTGGAATGGTCTATGAGATATTTCATCGATAGAGTTTTTAATGCAATGAAATACGCGAATGAATAGGAAGGAAAAATCGCGAAACAGCTCCGTTGCACATAGCGTGAAATGGTTTTTTCGTAGTCAATTTGAATATTAAAAAAACGCGTTAAAAGCTCGCATGCCACGTACTTTTACGTGCAAAAACCGAATCGGCCTCGTCCAATTAGCAACGATCCATCTTATTAAAAGCTCTCGAGTGCAAATGAAGTTGTAGTATTCCAGTACACGTAGGAATGCCACGCGAGTGCTCCAACACGGGGCACGCAGATGGGCAACGAATAAGTCACGCGTGTCGGACTTCAAACTATTTAACAGGCGCGCACTCGCCTGCAAACACGAAACGCGTCCGGGACTTGCAGTTGTGCACAAATCATCGCCTCTGAACATTTGTAGGTATTTTCTGCGCCTCCGAGAACTTGCTAAATCGTTTGTTGTCGCGCGAGAGTAGGAAAATTCGGTGGGAGCAACTTTCCGGAGCGTCGTCGACCTATGGGTATATTATACGAGGGCGATAATGCCGATAATTCGTCGCAGCCACCGTACACGATGGGTTGAAAAAGCAAGTTTTTTTCTCTTACGGTCGATTGCGAAGGGTTGAAAAGAGTCGTAGGCGTAAGCTCCGCCGTAATGTATGTGTACAAAGAAAAGGCAAATAGCCGTGTGTACGTAAATACATACATCGTGCAAGTATGACACAACAACACACGTAGGAGGTGTACGTACGCTACCGCCGCCATCGGTATACACCATGCAGCAGCGGCAGGCGTACGTTGCACCGTGTGTTTATCGATTTCGCCTAAGAATACATGGGCACTGCACGAGCAAAACATTGAATTTAAGGCTTCTTTTTTCTTCTACGTAGGAAAGCTGAAACGCGACGACTTTTTTGGCTGATTTGAGCAGGATTCTTTGGATTTTCGAGATAAGAGAGCTTTTTTGTCGAACGTAACTCGGTCAATGGTCGCAGGTACTAAAAGTTCGACAACGAGAAGAGATCAACGAGCGCGAGAAAAGGAAAACTTTGCTGACCGGCGAGAAGGCTGGAACTAGCTCGTAACGAAAGCACAATCGCGACGCGTCGTAGCCGAGTTGCTCGATTAGCCCAGAGTTCAATGATATGAGGCAAATACCTGCAAGCTTGAGTGACACTCGATGCGCCAACGAATATGCTGCAGTGCAAACAATTGAACTTACAACATAATATCCTCGGGAGTGAGTTACGAGGAGGACTACTATCACGAACTATATGTCGCTGCGTCTATGTATGCTTTTGGCGAGAAAGAACGGAGCTGTGTGCGAGCGAGCGAGCGAGTGTGTATAGCATCAGTCGACCGATCGAATCGGACACGGAAGCTCGAGCGCGCGCACACCAGTGGCCCTCCTCCCCGCTCGTTCTCCTCTCCAAAGCCCTTTATTTATTACTTTCTTTTTACTATTATTGCTTAATGCTCCCGAGAGTACGATTGATAATTCACTCCTCGAACGCCACGGGCACTTATCGATGGCAACTTGTCCCGCGCGAGCTTTTCCGTACTTTTTTTTCTGTTTCAGCGCAGCGCAGCGAGGAGTCGATGTGTTTATGCGTGTGGAAGCGGGACTGAGTTTATGAAAGAAAAGCTCGAGAAAGTGAATGACGATCTCGCACGCGATGATGTAAGAAGGGAGGAAATTCGACTAATCGTGAGGATGACTGACAGTACCTCGGTTTTTAGACTGCCGCACACAGGAGCAACTTTGCCTGAACTTGGATTTGTTTGTTTTTTTTGTCGTCGTCCCCGTAGAGAGACGCGAGGGCTCGCGCGACGCGACTCGATTGCAACTGAGGATCGCCGCGGCGAAATGTCACGCGAAGCTCCTCTCTTTATGTGCGGCCATCGGCAAAGCACGGACACGCGCAAGTTCAACCCTCTCTCTCTCTCTTTCATTGTTCTGCGATGCTGATGGAGTGCGCGCGCAACGGAGCTTTTCTCGCGCGACGTAACTTATACTTGCCCATCTGCTGGCGTCGTCGTCGTCGTCTCTTGCACTCGTGCATCGAGCGGTGCAGTCTGTTTGGTAATTCGCATGCGCGATAGCTGCGCGACGCGATCAAACTTGCGACTTTTCGCCTCCTGGATACGCAGAATCGCAGCAAAAAACACGACTTATTCAATATCTTAAAGTTTCATTTTCAATAAAAGGATGCTATCAAATTTTTTAATGATCTTAATTTTAACTAGATAACCGAATTATTTTAAAACTGTGTTTGCCGAATACTTAATAAAAGTTTTTGCAACTGCATGATTGGGAAAGATTAGATTGAAATATAATACTACACAGATTTTGTGTATAGTAGAACCAGAAAAGATATCGATTTTTGAGAATTATCCTGTAATCTCAATTTTATTTATTTTACTGATATATTTTTACTATTTTTATTTTATTTTTATCTATATATATAAAGCGAAGTTGGTGTCTGTTTGTCCTTTATGATCTCAAAAACTATTTGTCCAATCGGCTTGAAATTTTTACCACGTATACATTATACCACTGCGCAGGTTTCTATCATATTAAAACCGTTATTTGCTTATTTATTTTTGAGTTCAGAATTTTTTTCGTATTTTACCACTTCGCGCTTTCGCTCGCCCCTGTCTCGGTTAATGGTTATAAAAAAGACCGAAAACAGTTTTTTTTTTTGCACGCGGTGAATCGGAATACATTGTATTTGATGTCTACATGTGTTATTACGCTATTCGAGTTTTACAAGTGTGTGGACTCAACTTATACATTTCCTACTACGCACTTGACGTAGCCTGCTTAAGATCTTTTAAACAGTCGAATTTGTTGAAAAAATTGAACGTGGGCGAAGCCACGACGGGGTCGCTAGTCATTTTAATAATTCAAAAAGTTAAAAAAAAAGTTTAATTTATGTAGAAATATTCTTTCGAAACATAACTTTTTTGAACATCGCTTGATTTGAATATAAGTTCAAATCAAGCGATTTCCACTGCATATCTTTTAGAAACATTTTACTCCAAAATCTAATGAATAAATTCTGTGGATTGATATATTAGCTTTACCTCTTAATTCGTAATTTGTATTTTAGACTATCTGTAGATGATATGTAAATGTGGTCACTATCAATATTGTCGATCAATATTTAAAAGTACCGTGCGATTTTGGGGCAACAAGAGAACAATTACCTAATGATAGAAACGATGGGGGGGGGTAAAACAATTGATCTATATGAAATATGTAACATTGATATCAAATATCTGCTTGTGAAATATCATGTTTACTAATTCTTGAACTTTTTAAAATTGTCATGGTATCTGTGTGGTCATGAAGTACTTTCATAAGAAAATATTGATTTCAATGAATGGAAGAATTTAATTTACTTTTAAGCATTTTATGTAATTGCATAATTACTGTGCTACAAATTAAACAATTCCGGAGCTTCATGCAACAGATTAAAAGCTATTATCAAAGCAGATTTCTGAATATCACAATGAGTCAGCTTTGATAATGACAAATCTATATTAATGAGACTTTTCAATTTATAAAAAAATCCTGTGTCTGAATTACTACTGATTGCTTGTGATAAGTTCATTGCCAATCAAATAAAATTTTAATCGAACTCTTAAAACCAAATAATTCCAACACTTCAAATTCAATTGGCAAATAACCTTTTCTTGAACTCTACCCTTTAAGATTAATCCCCAAAAAATGTGTTCAATACGTGGACAATTATCGTTATATTATACTCTGAGTAAATCATTATTAATTTACTTTTTTCACTATCTTTATATAAAATTTAGAGCTAGTGCTTTCAACTAATAGTAATTTTCCAAAAGAGTTATGATATAGTTCATATTGTGCAGATTATTAATGATTAAACGTGTATTGTTCAAATTTTGATTTTTTCTTTTTTTCATCATTACACCTATTAAAGAAATTCAACTTGTCGTTTTAAATAATTTATTTATGATTGAACTATATATTTTTGAATTTTATATTTTTAGAATAGAATCTAATGATTTTTGATAAGATTTTATTCATATATCATAAAAATTCAAGGTTTGATTAATGCTTGTAACTACCTAAAACGTTTTTGCATCAGTTTCTATGTTCTTCATACTAATTGTTATAATCCAATATTAAAAGCTTGTGTATAATGATTTTTTATAAATTTTTTTTCTAGAAGCTACCCTGAAGACATTGGAACATCTATTAGATGGAATATACAACTTTAAAAATTATTTGCTAAAGGTATATTAGAATTCCACATCAACATGTTAATTGAGTAAAAGACATAATTAAGCATCCTTTGTTGGTTTATTTATGAGCATTATAATGAACAAAATGGAACTGGTTATAAAAAAAAGTAGTTCAAATTTTTTAAATGGATTTTGTATTTCAATGCAGAGAACACATTGAATGAATTACCAGAATAAAATTGACCAATGTGACAATAAAAATATACGTCATGATTGATTTTGAGGCACTGCCTCTAACAATAATCGAATCATTAACGCTGAAATACTTCCAATGACAACAATAAGACTATTTTTTATCCAGCCTTATGTTAACATACATCATTCCTACTTATTTAACATTATTAACAATTTTCACTATGTGCTCCATTCATCAAGAAAAAACACAAAATATACAAGAAGAGTAAAATCTTGATCAAGAGTTGCATTAACTGTTGAAATGAAATATTTTTAAATAAAATTGTTCTAAAATTTTTAATTTCATTTTCCAGTCATGCTGTCTTGCATTATAGATTAGACTCAACTTTATTTACTTAGTGGCAGATTCAAGATAAGCAATGAGATCTCCTCGTTCTTGGGGTTTCTTCAAGCCAGCAAACACCATCTTAGTTCCAGGAATGTATTTCTTTGGGTTCTCAAGGTACTCAAAGAGTGTGTCCTTATTCCATGTGATGCCTGAATATTAAATTTTTAATTATAATTTTGAAATTATTTATATTACATTGTAATTGTTTATATTACTTAGGAGCAAATTCTTACCTTTAGCTTTGTTGGCATCTGTGTATGCATAACCTGCAGCCTGACCAGTCTTTCTGCCAATCAGACCATGCAAGTTAGGACCAACCTTGTGTTTGCCACCAGCTTCAACAGTGTGGCACTGCGCACACCTTTGAACGAAGATCTAAAAAATATCAAAAAAGGTTCTAGTTAGTGAATTAGAAAATAGAGAAATTTCCAATGCAATTATAGTTCTCAAATATCTTAAAATATAAATGCAAAATAGCAACAATGTCTGATTTTTAAATAGTTAAAAAAGTTATTTTTAAAAATTAAAATAAGATGAGATTTCTTTTATAATTCAATTTAACGACGTTCACTTGAGTTTATTATTTAAAATTTAACCTATTAAAAATCAAAAACTTCAAAAATCTTACAAAAGTAAATAGCAACCGAGTCTCGGAAAGTTTCGATATTGATCTAACTTAACGAAAAAAATTATTGCATTAAAAAAACTGATGTAAATGTTTACCTTCTTTCCTTTCTCAACATCACCAGCTGGGACACCCATGTCTGCAAATCTGCAAAATTTAAAAAAACATGAATTGTAATCGCAGACGAAAAACAATAAATTTAGAAATTTCGTTCAATCAGAACGGTCTACAGAGATCGACTATCGATTTATCAGAATCGATAAACAAAATATTCACTCTGTATTAGCAGACGATTCTCAAACTAAGAGTAAATTAAATAACCTCGTGTTTAGCGCATATTGCTAGAACCAAGTGACTTTGACCTTGCTAAATTTCTATTGCGTTACGTCAGAAACAGCAGAACACAAGCGCCAACATTTCTACATCGTTAAATGGCATATATTGTTTATTCTTCTCTGTGTGAAGCAACATTAGTATTATTTTCGCCTGCTAAAATAACTTTGGGTGTATGTGTGAGTGTGGCCGCGCGCAAATTCCAACTTCAGCAAAGTCAATTAAAAATAAAACAAAAATTGCCCATACCAAAACGCGCCCATTTCGTTAACGTCTATCCAACAACCATACGCGTGTATTTGTTGCTTGAAATTCATTTGCGTTTTTGGATTGTCAACCAACAACTTGAGACATTGAATAACGAAAGTCAGTTGTGATGTCCATTTAAAAATAAACGCATCGCCCGGACGGCCCGAATGAAAAAAAAAAAGATTGCTCCGTATTGGGAAAGCGACAATCACAGATGATTTACTTGTTGCCCAAGCGATAGCAAACGATTAATTATAAATGCGATAGGGCAAAAAACCGTTAACAAATTATCGTCTTGAAGAAAATTTCCCGCGACACAGGGTGTTCCGGAAATTCCATTGTGTAATCTGTCTGGCCTGCCTCATATTACATTATACTCGCTTTATCGCGCTCGAGGCGAGTGGTATATGGCTTGTCTCGTGATCCTATGCTAATTCACAGTAATCGGGCGCAATCGACGAACTTTTCCGTCGTCTGTGACCTATTTTGGCACAAATGCGTGTACCTCGATAATTTTTCTGGTTGACGTATCGATAAGTGACACTAGCAAAATTCGCTGCGAACCCTCGTCGCGTCCTTTTAACGACTGACTTCAATGCAGCATGCCAGAGCACGAGCAGCATCGTTCGATACATGGCACTCGTGATGCTGGCATAACGCCCGCGTCTGCCGCGCGTCTTCCGATGATCTCGAATTTTCCAAGGATATAAGTGTAAAGAAATGTCGCCCAGCCGCGTTGACGCGTTGTCATCTTCGGGGAGCCTCGTCGACGCTCGTCATTCACCCAATTCCCAACGTTGGGATAAAAAGGTTTGCGTTGCTCAATCTGATGCAAACGACGCCGAAATTGCACATGCACACACCCACCATGATGTCGACCGAAATTTCGAACCTAACTCATCGATTCACGCTCGCTGACATTCTTCCAATAGACGTAGTCTATGCACGCTGCCCGATTACATAACCGAGTACGATAGACGAATCTTTAAAGAATTTTGCAAATTAATCCGATCAGATTCAACAAGAGCACGTGTCGTCCTTCCCCTCTTGACGCGTCACACACGCACACAATTTCCGCTTGCGAGAGTTAACCATACACAGTTCTACTATATACGTAGACACACACCATCGAGTCTCGCAACATGATGAAAATGCAATGCATCGCGATAACGTGAATGACAGGCGACGGAAACGTTTAACGGCGATCGCGATGGGTCTACGACACCTTCTGAACCTTAATAAATAATAAAAAAATTAAATGTTAATTACCTTATTGGGAACTTTTACAGAAGCGAGTACGAACTACTGAACGTGACTCGACCGTTGCACGACCGTGAATAACTACAGCCTCGAAAAACTCGCGAGTAACGGATCAGAGCGCGCGCGGGTCGATACGTTTCACCCCTCCACCGCCCGTAGCATTGCAGACGCTATAGCTGTATACATCGCTACGTACGCAATAGCACATCGAGTGCAAACTGCTAAAGCCTCGTGTCAAGGTGCTTCATGAACTACTGTGTACGATAAAGATGGATCATTATTTGTGCAAGGGTTGAACTTACTGTAACGGTAGAATGACACACAAAGACGAATAAACACACGGATGTTTAGTTTTTAAACTCAAGTTTATTACGACCGAGAGCTTTATGAATGGTTTCAGTATGCGTCCTGAAACACGATTTCCGCACTGAATTAAAAATTGGTTATTAAATTTTCCAGGACAAGCTCTAACTTCTAGATAGAAATGAATAGCAAGTGTTCCAATCAGTCAGTTATTTCTAATTATATTTTATATTATCTATTAGAATAAAAACATTACATAATTGAGAAATAATTTGTAGATTTGGTCACAGTTCGTGACCGTTTTTTTGACGAGTAAAATTTGAAGTCATGTTTGAAAATGAAGTTCAATAAAAATAACAGAAAATATTTAATATTAAAAATATTTAATAAATCATATATACACTAGAAAAACTTTTTTTTCATGAGTCAAGATTCTTTCTTTGTTGAAAATCGTATAAAGTCTACTTCTATGTCAACTGATTTCTTTTTATGAAACTTATATGTACTGGGTAAATCATATCTTAATTCTGCTACAACTTTAGCATGTAAACCGAGCTGTTCTCCTTTTTTCAACACATGTGCTCGAGTTGAAGTTTTATGCAGAGAGTAAATTGCGTTGTTACTGATTGCAGCTGCAATTTCTAAAAATTTCATATCTATTCCAGCATTATGTTTGGTCCCAAACGGAGGGTTCATAACTACGGTGTCAAAATGTTTTTCAAATCTACCAGGCAACAATTTAATTACATCACAGTTAATAATATCCATTGCAACTTCTTCATCTTCACAATTTTCAAGAATTGTATCAATAGCATTTTGATCAATTTCAAATGCAGTTACATGTCCAGCTCCAAGCATTAAAGCTCCTATTGATAATACACCACAACCAGCTCCCAAGTCTGCAACAAGACAATCCTGAATATCTTCATATTGATTTTGAGCCACATATAACATGCGAGAGGCAATGTGTGGAGATGTTGCATATTGTTCTAAAAGGATATTGGGTTGATCAAATGTTGACAATTGTTGTAGTTCTTGTTCTAATTGCTTTATCTTGATCATTTTTGATGGATTTTTCGTTTAATCTACTTTGTTGAAGGAAGATCAAATCTTGGCAACACTGGTAAAATCAGATTTCCAAATGCAGATTCTTGACTTATAAAGTAACCAGCAGAATTAGCTTGAGCATTTAATAAAGCTTGTCTTTGTGAAGCGTTTGTATCTAATGATGATGTCGAAGGTAGAGGATTTACAGATAATGCCGGACTTAAACTTTGAGCTACACCTTGTTTTAATAGCAATTGTTTTTGCATATGAATTTCTCCAAGAAGAATTTTGCGATTTTGAACAATCTGAGCATCTCTTGAAGTGTTTTGAGCCATTGAAACTAGAAAAAAAAAAATATTCCAGAGAAAGGTTAAACAAAATAAATTTGAAAAATGAAAAAATTGACAATATTAATGAAGTAAATACCTTTTTTAACCTTATAACAATAAGTTAACTGATCCACAGATTATAGACGATATAGTACACATCTATATAGTTTTATAGGATACCTCTACATAAGCCTGAATGGCAATGAATATTTGTGAAGAGCGACGCAACGTGCAAGCGTCTGCTCTGTAATTTCTTAATCGACCCAGGACACTGCATGGTGGTGCCAAGTCAACTTAACTATTGGCGGACGATTTGAACGGCGTGAAATTAAGTTTCAAAAAGTAAAATACTAATACACATAGTTTTCAAAAGTAATTAAATTTTTTTGGTTTAAAAAAAAATGAGAAATCTTTGAAAAAAATTTTCTAATTGTTAAAATTGTTTAAAAAAAACTCAAGTTCTATGATAAATGTTTATTTTTCAATTAGTTCAATTCTTTCTTTTTTTTATTGACGAGCATCATGATTATTAATTTATTTTTTTTATTAAACAATAATCAGAAAGTATATATAATATTTTACATACATTCTATTCTATTAATCTTCGAAGAGCTTATGTAGAAGGGGCCCAACAAAATGTATGCTCTTATGCTCATGCCATAAAAATGCGATCAAATTTATCGTAATACTAGTGTCTAAAGTTGCTACTTATATGCTACAAGTTATTCTGTCTTTCCCTTTCTCTTCTAGTTTTATTGGGAAGTGTACCAAACCGCAGCGCCTCTATGCATTCAATCTTAATTTCCATAAGAACTAGAGGAGTAAGGTTTGGCTGATTTTGACCTATTCCTCTGTAGTTCTTATGGGTCGCTCACACTGAATACTGAGAGGCGCTACGGTAACGTATAATTCCCATATTCCGATATTCGTGTTCAAACGTCAAAGTTGCGTTTTGGAAGCGGTAAAGAATATAACCTACAAAAATTTATACAAACAAGTAGCCGTCGCGATGGTAAATCTTTTAAAAGGGATTTTAGTAGAATGGTGAGTTTTCGATTTTGTTTACATGTATGAAATGCGAAAATTGACTGAAATTGTACAATATTTAATATTCATTCGACGTAATCAAGATCTTCAGGGATTTTAAATTGTTTATTAAGTGCGGATTCTTCTATATTAAACTTATTATTACACCAAGTTTTCAATGAGAATATATTATCTGTCCATGTATTTGCGGCATCTTTGAAAAACTGCAAAAGAATTTTTGTTAACTATTTGTGTGAAAAATACAATTATTATTAGTTTACCTTGGCTTTTTTATTGATCTCTGCTATAACTTCTGGATCTGCATCACTGAACTTTGAGATTTGTTTTTTCAATTCAGATTCTTTGCTAGTTAGTTCTTCTATTTCTTGTATCAGTAATTTTGTTTTTTCAAAGTCTTCATTTTTCTGAAATAGAAATTACCCAGTAATGTTTTTGTCTACTAAAAGTTCGTTAGAAAATAACTTTAATAAAAATTAACCTCTTCTTTTTGAACCTCCAATTTTAAACGTTCCAATTTGGATTCGAGCACCATAATATTTTTTCCACACTCAGCTATTTGATTTTCCAGTTGTGGTATCTTTTCTCTGTGAAACATTATAGTAAATTAGATAAGGCAAGATTAAATTTGTGACATTAGATAGATGTATCATAATTTACCCAGGAAAAGACCAGAAATATACAGATGTGCCAATTTTGTCTGAATGCACTAATCCATCATCAACTAAAGCTTGCAAAACACTCTGCACAGCTTGTTGAATAATACCACATTCTTTTGGTAAATTACTTTCTAATTCTTTCAAAGTAAAAAACTCTTTTTTCTCATGAAAATAGCCTAGCATTCGAGTGCGTTTTTCATCAGCTGTAACTCTTTTTCTTTTAGACATTTTTAAATCTTATATATCTGAAAAATAATTTAGTTGAAAAATATTAAAATTTTTGTTTAACATTTCAGCGATGAAGCTATGAAGCAATTTCTTTTACACTTGGATGAGTCTATGACATTGGGAAAAAAATTTATAATTCAAGATTTAGATGATACACATTTGTTTATATCAGCTGATATTTTAGACGCTTTACGTGCACAAATTGATGACTTGATGGACAAAATTTCTTTTCCCACAGATAAAGCATTTTAAACATTTATAATTAAAATATATAATTTAAAACATCAAAATGGCTGTCAGAGAATCAGGAAGAGTTAAAGATGCTATGCAAAAAAGAATACTTGATGAGGATGCAAGAAAAAGAAGGCAAAAAAAAGCATTGGAAGCTTTGGAACAAGACAACTTTCATGAAGATCCTCATGCAGATCTAGGTAAATCATCAATTTTCTAAAATTAAAAAAGACTTATTTATAAAAATTATTTATTAATAATATTTAATGCTTTAGTGATGCATAAAAAAGCTCCAAAGTTTCAAGATGACTTGAAAAATGCCACACGAAATAAAAGGAAAACTAGAACTGCAGATTATTTCAAACAAAGGTTCAGAAAAAATTTTGCTCAACTCGTGGAAGAGGATTTGAACTATAATAGTACAGTTCCTAACTATACAACAGCGCAAGCACCACCTTCAGCTTTTCCCGATAGACATTTTTGTGCTGTTTGTGGTTTTCCTAGTCCTTACACATGTATTCCATGTGGGGCAAGATATTGTTCTGTGAAGTGTCTTGGCAGTCATCTTGACACTAGATGCATGAAATGGACTGCATAAATATTTACATTTACAAATAAAATTTATTTAAGTGAGATTTAATAACTTAATGTAATGAGTAATGTAACAATAGTTTCAATACTGAAAAAGAAAAATTTTATAATCTACCTCTAGTATTAACTATTTTTAATTAAACCTTGAAGATTAAGCAATTGTAATAATTTCATTAGGTATAAATATTTTTTTAGGATATAAGTAAAGAAGATAACCCAAAATGTATCTAAACTAGATCGATTTTTAAATAAATTATACAAGACAGCCAATAAGAGTAGTTTTCATTCAAATTTTATCGATGGGTGATGAAATCACTTACGAGAATTATTTTTATTCAATTCCAGCGCTTTAACGTGTAAATAGAGTTGTGACGGTTAGCACTCTGACACTACACTGAGTTTAAATAGCAAGTTTTAATATGTAACGATACAATGATGCAAGATTATATTATTTTATGTATTTTTTAAATAATCAAAAAAGTGGACGAATAACGGAGAATAATATATTTTTTTATCGATTAGTTTTGATTGGATCACTCAAGGTAAACAAAAAATTTGAGGTTGTACTAAGGGGCTATTTAATTTCACGTTGCTATTCGGCGGGAAAAATATTTTGACTAGATTTGTTCGATAGTGCCGACATCTCGTGACCAATTTTCATACACGAAATTTCTTAATGAAAATCGAGATAAGTATTTGAAAAGTTTTAATAACAAATTAATTTCCCAGAGAGGTCTAAGAACAAATTAATTTAGCAGAGACAAAAATAATTAATTAACTAATGAATTTTATGGCTCTGAAATTTTGTTAAAACATATTTTGAATTTTCAGTGACTAAAATATTTGTACTCGCAAGAGAACATATTATGACAAAATTAAAGATTATATAGAATTTTAGTAGCTTTGTCGAAGGGAAAATTCGATCCAGTTTAATTTGAAGACTAAAAAGCACAAAACGCGAGATTTAACTTGTAAGAAAAGCAATACATGACTCAAAATAAAAATATATCGTCAGTTGTAAAACAATAGCAGATAGAGATGACTTGAGATCAGCGCACGCCCAAATAAGTGGCGTATCATCATCGAGTTATAAATCGTGAGTAAACACTAAACGTAAGCGCACATTTAAGCGTGCCTACAGAGTTTGAGGCTCAAGCATAAATTTAGCATAAAACGGAGAGAACAAAAAGTGGACTCCATCGGCGAAGGTCATATTTTCGAGCCTCTACGCGTGTGTCATGCTGCAGTTGTCGAGCAGTCGGTGTTTCTCGCGTGGCCTCATAAGTCGCACTAGCTATATAGCTATATGTATCGTAGCTGCGGCTCAATCAGTCGTCGTATCCCGGCATTGCGCCCGGCACTGCCACAGCCTAGGTACACACGCGAATTATCATCGTCAACACACAATCACAAAGGCCTGTGCGTCGTCGGTTTATGGCACGTTGTTGTTGTGCTGCATACGAGCATATTTGCATCGTCTCGCTTTGTTGCACGCGGGACTCGGCAGTCTCGCGCTCGCCGCGCGCCCAGTTGCATCGTTTTGAATCGTCGGCTGCCTGCAGTGCCCATAGTATAGGTGTACAACAATTATAAGCTCATTTCATTTCGAGAAGTACATGCGAGTTCGCACGTGCGGAGCCAACGCAAGGACACGAGTCGATTCGGAGCTCGAACAATGTCACTAGACATACGCCGCGGCCTAGCGTGTACCAAATGGTAAATATCAGCGAGCTAAATTGCAACTCTCTCGGTACGATATAACATTTTTTAAATTTTTTACCAGATCGAATAGACACACAGGTAAAAGTGTACACAATTGTTATTGAGTGCGTAATTTTGACGATAAGCCGAAAGCACGATAAGGCTCGGTGATAATTGTCAATTAAATTAAAAGGATGAACGCTAATCAGCTCGGCGGTACCCGCATGAAAAAAACAACGCGAGTCGAGCAACACCGTCGCGTATATATATAGTAAATTTTGTCGATGATACACGCGACGAATGCAGTCGCGCTGACACGCCGTGCATCGAGTGGTGCGTTGCAAACACAATAGTAGCGTAAGCTATGTAAGTGCAAAGTCGTCAGTTGTCCGTCGAGCGCGTCGCGTATAGTAGATGGCGCGGCTCGTCGCGGCCTCTCGCGCCATTTAAATTCGGATTTCGTCGCGCGCGGCACCTCTCCCGCTCGCACCGCCGCAGAGATAAACAAACAAGACGCGCTGATTATTACATTCGCGTACATGTATTATATGTTTATAGACGATTAACAATATTTACCGAGCCGCTCGGGGCTCTCGGGCGTTTTGTACTGTGGCGAACGTCGGCGCGACGCGTGGGTGCTCCGCGCGGATTGATATTTCGCCTTTTATAACTGGCAATTCTTCTTGCACAAAAGCTGCCTTCGCGCCTCGCGATCGCCTATTCGATAATACTTATTTCTTTTTTATATAATAAAAAATCGAGCGCCGTAAAAATAGTGGCGATTTTGCGGTATGTGCAGTATGCGTTCGCAGCGTAAAATGTGATCGATTGCTCGTACACGGAGAGGAGGTAAGTTTCTCAAAGTCATAATTCCACGTAATAAGCGTGTTATTATTTGTCGAAAGTGGAATAATCGCGCATTACGTGATGATGACGGATAATGTGTGTGCGTATGTGTATTGTTATACGAGTGCGTTTGATGTAGCTATAGTTCGATGCAGTGCACTGGCTGCGAGAGCGGAACGCGACGCGAGATACAGTGCGAGAAAAATAAGTAATCAGAAGCACGTGAGCTGGTGGCTCTTTTACTCGATTTTCGATGCGAAATCGGAAGCATCGCTTCGAGTCGTCAGACAGCTAGTCGCTCTCCAAATTTAATATAAAATTTTTGCCCCAGCTTAAAAAAGGTGTGTGTATATATAGGCTAATTAAATGGTGTACGTTTTGCAGCGCACGTGTGTGCGTACGTACGAACACCAATACCAGCACGAGCTCAAGATAAATATAAGTTAGATAAAAATTCTCCAAGCGTATATATTCGGCTCCTTCCATGTACTTGGACGACAGATTAGATTATTCCGCTTCGACGGCTCGTTTCGGTAGGTCGCGCGCGAGACGCAACGATACATCGAGCAAAAACGTGCACCGTAAGTTCAGTTTACACAAGAAAAAAGTGCTAATTATTCACCGTTTCCCTCCTGCAAAAGATAGCTCGCTAAACGAATAAAGCCGAAAACGCCGCAGCGATCTCTCTCGTGAAAGTTCGATGAAAAAAGTACCATACTGAAGAGTGTACGGATACGAGAGAGATCGATGCTGGCCAAACGCAAGAGCTACAGTCTGCAAAAGCTCCGCTTCATAACTTCATTTATGTTTCTTTGATGCGCAGGTTGAAAAATTCAAAAGCAAAAGACGAGCAGACAAAATGACTAGTCCCATGGGTGATGAAGAGCAACTGCAGTTCGACGATGAAGTCAGCCCCAAAAAATCGTCACCGATCAACGCATCGAATTTCCGGAAATTACTGCCTCATGGAACGGTGCTGCTCGAGTCTCAGGTCTCGGGCCACAAGTTCGATCTCGATAAAAACAGAATCGGTGAGTACTCGATCTCTCTCGATACAGTGCTTTTTTTTTATGTAAGCTTTAATCGACGACACTTTTCGAGCAAGGCCGTGCAGAGCCGAGGTCTGTAAAAGACCTGCGATTTTCTTACCGTATTATACTCGTGTAAAGCTGTTGTACATGAGCTGTACTTTTATACGCTGTTATAAATTAATCAAAAATACTATAAGACGTTTCGACAGATCATATCGAAGCTCTGTCTCGCTTTTAATATTTCAACGCTTTATTACTATTTTATGCACGAGAGCTGCTAGAAGCAATTAAGCGGAAAACTTTGACTCGCGTGCGAGTAATGAGATGCAAACAATCCTCAAAATGTTTCCGCTCGTGCCTGCGTAAGAAAGTCAAAATATCATAAAAGCTCTCATTAATATATTCATCGTCGAGCTGTCATTCTTCCCTAGCGTCTATCATTATCTTATTACTCGCGTGGATATAATTACTTAATAACTAGGTACTTAATTAACTTTTCTAGCGCTAGATCGCAGGTAATCGGGTGATCGCTGTGTGCTCGCGTGGAGCGCTAAATAAATAAAACGCGATATTTCGGGAATCTGGAATTTCTTGATAGCTTAATAGTGCTCTTATCGGCCTGCGATACATTCGAGTCCAAGATTGGGAAACTATTTCAGAAAAACATATGCACGAGGCGAATTTTTAATTACTAATTGATTACTGAATGCTTTTTACAACTCGAGCATCGTCACGTGCTCGCTTCGAAAATTCGATAAGCCGCGCATTTTTTTCTCCCGACTCACGAGAACAAAAAAGTCTCGAGAGTCGACCTAATAAAAACAATCATTGTTTTCTTTTTCTTCAATTTTGTTTTTTCTTCAAGGTATGCTGAAAGACACGAATGGGCGAGTTTTCAAACCGATCGACAAGCCGGCCTTGGGCGAACGAGAGATTGCGTTCTATGAAAACTTAAAGGTCTCTGGAAACCCAACGGATGGGGAATTGAAACGATTCGCTCCAGCCTACTATGGAACTAAGGAAATGAAAGTCCTCGACAAAAGTTCGTTTGACTCTTTTTCCTTTTCTTTATACTGAACATCGTTCGATTATTACACATTTATCGATAAATGTATCCGGGCTCGTAAAGCAATTAAGAAAATACAAAGCTGCATTCGACGCATGTTGTAAATTGTAGCTCAATAGCAAACTACGCCGTTGAATTATTCTTAAAAAAGTTTATATCTATTGTTATCAACTTTGCTGCAGCTAATTTTCATCTTCAAATCTTACGTCATTTGTAATTGCTTATGCCTTTCGTTATAGCCGTCAAATTCATCGAGTTGGAAGATGTGACCGATGGCATGGCCGAACCATGCGTGATGGACGTAAAAATTGGTCGGCGAACGTGGGACGGTCTCGCGAGTCCGGAGAAACGAGCCGCCGAAGATCGCAAGTACGCGGCGACCAAAGAGGCCTACGGATTCTGCATACCTGGCTTTCAGGTGTATAAATTGCCCACCGGCGAGTTACAGAAATACGACAAAGATTACGGCAAAAAACTCAACGAAGATTCACTCGTAGAAGGTATGTTGCTGATATAATTTTTTTAACAGCCTCTTTGTTAACCATTTGACCTCATTCGCAGCTTTGGAGATATTTTTAAATGGCAATAAGGACCGAGGTCCCTGTCGTGACCTAGTCTTGCGTCTAGTATCAATACTCTGGAAAATTCTCGCTCTATTCCGCGACCAGCGTCGCTACCGATTCTACTCATCGTCCCTCCTGCTCGTATACGACGCGAAACGTCTGCGTCACCACCTCCATCGTCAGCTGAACAACAGCCCGGTAGAGAGTCTACTGCGATCGCCGATTTCTCGCGGTAAAAGTTTCTGCGGCAGCCCCGTGGGTCGAAGCCTGGGCTCGTTGAATCACCTGGGCAAAACCGCACCAATGCCCTCGCCACAGAGTTCTCGTGTGTTCTCTTTCCAGATACCTGGTTCGCCCAAACTCGAACAGACCACGAGATTTCACAGTAGTTTGACGAGATCGCCGAGAAGCGGATCGCCAGCGAGGAGTCCTATGCTCAGCACCTTCGACAGGATCAGAGGAATCACCAGAAGTATTAGCTTACAGAACTGCGAAAATTATCCTGACAAAATTGTCTCGCCAGAGACAAAAGATGCGGCGTTGAGGTAAGATTTTTCCATTTGTATTTTGCACCATTGTGACACAGTGATTCAATCTTCATTTTCATAGCCGCATGGATGTACCGTCGCCACAACAGCGACCCGAAGTTCAGGTACCGAAGCTATGCCGTACGCATTCGTATTCAAATAATTTTGAGAATGATCTCATGGAAATGAAGGAAGATTACGCGGCTGTACTGTCCGAACTGTGCAGCAGCTGCGAGGAAAAGCAAAACTGGGTGCGTGTTTATATGATCGATTTTGCCCACGTCTTTCCAATTCTCGACAGCGAACACGACACGAATTACCTCGAAGGCATCGAAAACCTCATCAAACTGCTCGAGAGATTTTTGTAAACGATTATGGCTGTTTATTTATCCCCCTTTTTTCATTTATTAATCTGTTACAGAGATAGTTTTTATGATGTATTTATAAATACAATTTTTTGTGAGATTTGTATACAAGAAAATTTTGGATATTTTTGATGAAAAATAATATGGATATTTTCCATTTTTTTACCAGCTTTCAAAGAAAGTAAGTAAGACTATCATCCGAAATAGACTTGAATTAATCAAGCAACTGCTTTGTTTTTAATAATTTTGTAGACCATAAAGAGTCTACCGAAATGTCTATACTGTATAATACTGATATTTTATATTTTTTAAACTTGAAAACATTGCGCTGGTTACGCAATTACATGTTGAATCATTTTACACGGTAAAATGTCTTGAAACATTTATAACCAGTAATTTTATGGTTGTTTTAATGAAAAGTTCTATTTTTTATTGACTACAGTTTTGAGTTGTAATGAAAGCAACAAAATAAATATCTGTAGCCCCGTGTAGAAAGCATAAAATGAATTTGAAACTAAAACAATGTATTCAAATAAAAGTATGATGTGATAAATAAAATTGTTCGCATTTGAACTTAATTTTAAGCATGTAATATCGTCGCCTCAGCGCAAAAACCGGCTTGATAAACTCAAGAGGCAAAAACGTGGCTTAGTCCTCTCTTTTTAACATAGGACTAAGCCATGTTTTTGCCTCTCGAGTTTATTAAGCCGGTTTTTGCGCTGGGCGACGATATATTTTTGAAAGAGTACAACATAAAAATATGACACTTGTTGGTATGAATACATTCATTTTGTCATTACATTTGATATCTATATTTATCTGATAGAATGAAAAATTTGATTAGATTTATGTTACATATGAAGCTTAATAATACGTTACAATATGAAATAAAGAAGTATATATTATATTTAATTGTGTTTTATGACATTCATTTTCTCAAGTTTTATGATACTATGAAAAGAAAGATAACGATTTTTTGAAAGAAAAATGGAACTCATATCAAAAATATATAATTCATTAATAAGTAGGTATCAATACCTTAGTTAGCAAATATATAGTTTCACGGTATTTAACAAGGCTGATTAGTTTTTTAATTACAATTTTCAAAATTTTCTTAATTGCGATATTGGCTTCTTTGATGGAAAATTTTTTCATAATTATTAGTTTCGTAACTCTGAAATCTACAAGTATTAAGATGCTCTAATACAACAGAAATTATCACAAGACAAGGTAATCTTCTGGAAAAAAATTCATAGTACATGTGTAGAGTATACAATTCGTTAAAAGTTATAGAACAAAATTAGTACCGATCTTTAAGATTTAGTATCGTCTGTTTTATGACTAATTGACTTAAGTAAAATGATTGTAAAATGTGCAATGAAAGGTAAATTTTAACATGAATAACAACACTAGTCGAAGCTACGTTAAATAATACATTGCAAAATGTGACGTCATTTATCGGTAGAGATGATCGCGAAGGATCACGCAATGCACGCCGCTTATCGATTGGCGATAGAGGTAAAAATTGAATCGACTACAATTGGAAATAATCTTCAGCGGGTATCGTGCGAAACGCCTGAAATATTCGAGATGCGTCTCTTCACCATAAATCATGCCGAAGAATTTCGATTGGACTCGAAAATTCGAAGTGACTAAAAATGTCGCACAGTTGCAGCAATTTTGCAAAAGTGACGTCAGTTTTCCAGTCATTGCAGCCAGTTGCGTTGCTTCGCGATCGCAGAACCCCACACAATCTCATGGTCTGCTGGGAGGGGACTGCGGGAATCGTTCGTGCTATTTACACACACATATACACACATGTGTGGCGTACCAGAACACCTAGGCCGTACAACCTCTATAATATCTTGTCATTATAAAGCCTGCGAATAGCGACGGTTATTCGAAACCTCGACTTTGCAGTGATTCTCCTCGTAGTCGGTACTCCGCGCGGCATTCACTGGTCGTCCGTGGCAGACAACGCCTCAGTCACTATCTTTTTAGCATTTTTGTGGTTTTACGAGTGCCTTCGCGTGCCTACTCCAAGGAGCTTTTGAATTTTTCATACTTTTGATCGAAGAAGTACAACGTCTATCACCATGCCGCCAGTTGGTAAGTTTCGCATTTACGTCCATTTTGACCCGGCCTTGGCTTTTTTCACACCGTTTATGAGAGTGTACCCGCTCATTAAATTAACGCAACACTGTCAGATTCTGTATCGTAATTCGAACTCATCGCGAGCTACTCAACAAACCGTTTCGACTATGCTTTCGATGATTAACGAGAATCAATTTATTTCGATATCTAACGAAAAATTACTCATAGTCATATTTGGTACTTTTTTATTTGTGCTCGTACCCATACATCGTACGTATGGAGATGCTATGCAAGCGCATATCTGCGTACGTAGGCGTATTACGCCAACTTACGATCAACGCGTAGCTAAGACGGATTTCGATCGCTCGGCGGGGCAAACGACCTTGGTTGAAAAACGGAGCAGTGAGCGTCTGCAGTCATGGGAGCGAAAATTTATTGAAAAATGACTCGAATCAGAGATTGTTCGCGGCTCGTAACGCCGCTCCACTAAAAATCAGCTGTACCGACTGTCTAGTTCGGCCCGAATCTTACAGGTGCTTCCGTGCAAATCGAAAGTCTCTCTATCATCGCGATAAGTCCAGCAGTCGAGCGGACTGCACTGTCACGGCCCGAGCCTCACTTTATACATACTTGCATGAAGCGCAATGATTTTGCAATGATTTGCCGATATATTTGTGCGCGAGAATCATATCTATAGAAGTTCGTTTCTCGACTTGCCAACCGACTGTCCGAATGACAGGCGGCCGGATCATCCGCGAGAGAGTATTCAAAATATTGTAATTGCTCGCGAGTTGTCGTTGAGCCTGTGTGACCTGTAAGTACTGTAAGTTTATGAACACCGGTATTGCCTCATACACAATCATGCTGTCGCTTCGTGAAGCAACGAAACTCGCGCGCCTAATTGTTGGATCCGCAGCAACAAGCCCCTCGATAGCACATCGAAACTTGTTAACGATGAACAAATCTTGGTTATTTGGACAGGTTATGTGCGCCGCTTACTTCTCCTCCCGTGAGTAATTATACATTATTCGCCTCTATATTCAAGACTATCCGATTTTACACGAAAAAAGCTCAATAAATTTACAAGTTACCGTTTGTGCAAATGACCATGGGTAATGATATTTCAATTACATTTTTTACCTATAAAATAGTTTTTCTTATTTCTCGCGCCAAGCGATGAATCGATATTTATATATTATTTAACATGTCGATTTATTTATACGTTTTTGTGCGTTACTCGTGTAACGAGTTTTTGTGAATTATGCATTAGCAGCCGCTTGAAATATACATCATTAGGTTATAGATATAAGTACAGTTGATGAGAGTCGACGATATGGTCTGATTATACGACTTCAATTCTTGGCGTAATTGTCACGATGCTGAATTGCTCCCACTCGCGCTCCTGCCATTATTTTTCCGTGAACATAGAAATGCTCATTGCGAGATCTTATGTCACGTGCCGATGACTTATCTGTTAAAATATTTTTTCATTGACTGAGCCGAGATTTTTTTCTCATTATATAATTCTTATTTTTTCAGATCAATATGAATATGATTTGGTTGTATTGGGAGGTGGTTCGGGAGGTTTGGCTGCAGCAAAGCAAGCAACAGAGCTAGGTGCTAAGGTTGCTGTATTTGATTATGTCACACCCTCTCCTCAAGGAACAAAATGGGGTTTGGGAGGTACCTGTGTCAATGTTGGTTGCATTCCAAAAAAACTCATGCATCAAGCTGCTCTCTTAGGAGAGGCTGTTCATGTAAGTTATTAATTTTTATCCACTTTTGAATCATATTATTGACTCATAATTAATGATTATTTGTTTTCTAGGAAGCAGCTGCTTTTGGATGGCAAATTCCAGAACCAAAAAAAATCAAAATTGATTGGGAAGCTATGACACAGGGTGTTCAAAATCACATTAAATCTGTTAATTGGGTCACTCGAGTTGAGCTTAGGACTAAGTAATTAATTGAAATTTTATATTAAAATATAACTTTAACTGTACAAAAATTTAATTACATTTTTTCTTCTACATAGGCATGTTCAATATATCAATGCCTTAGGATATTTCAAGGATCCTCACACCATTGCCGGTTTAATGAAAAATGGTCAAGAACAAGTTGTAACTGCCAAAAATGTACTTATCGCAGTTGGTGGTAGACCCAACTACCCAGATATTCCAGGAGCTGTAGAATATGGCATTACTAGTGATGATTTATTCAGTTTGAGTAAAGCTCCAGGAAAAACATTGGTCGTTGGCGCTGGATGTATCCTTAAAATTAAAATTTTAATAGATAATTTTTTAATTTACATGAGTAGTTTTAAAAAATGTTCAAACAAAACATTATCAATATTTTCTTAACACATACTATAGATATTGGTCTTGAATGTGCTGGATTCTTGAATGGATTGGGATACAATGCTACTGTTATGGTGCGATCAATTGTCCTTAGAGGTTTTGATCAAGATATGGTTAAAATTGTTGTCGATGAAATGGTCAATCAAGGTGTTAACTTCATTCATGAGGCTAAGCCTAAGTCAATTACGAAACAGGAAGATGGAAGTCTACTTGTGCATTATGTTGATAAGGTAATTTTTGCTATTTAAAATTACATTTTCATGAATATAATGACAGTATAATAATGTGACTTTTTTTAGGACGGTCAAATTAAAAAAGATGTGTATGACACAGTATTATTTGCTATTGGTCGTTATGCTTTGACTAAAGATTTGAAATTAGAAAATGCTGGTGTAGAAACAGTTAAAGATGGAAAAATTGATGCAAATAACGAACAAAGTAACGTCCCTCATATCTATGCTGTTGGCGATGTTTTGCATGTAAGTTAATATTATGTTTTAGTTAATATAATTATTTTCTTTGATCTCATAAATTTTTTTAATGAATATAGAAACGACCTGAACTAACACCTGTAGCTATTCACGCTGGAAAACTTTTGGCTAAAAGACTCTTTAACAATGCTACTGAAACGATGGATTACACAAACGTTGCAACTACTGTATTCACTCCTTTGGAATATGGCTGTGTTGGCCTTAGTGAAGAACAGGCTGTTCAACATCATGGTGAAGATAATATTGAAGTTTATCACACCTATTACAAGCCCACAGAATTCTTCATCCCACAAAAAGACAATAGTAATTGCTACTTGAAGGTAGTGTGCGAACGTGCTGGAGATCAAAAAGTTCTTGGTATGCACTTTGTTGGACCCCATGCTGGTGAAGTTATTCAAGGTTTTGCTGCAGCCATGAAGTATGAATAATGCAATTAAAATAATATAAAATTGAGTTAGCTATTTAAAGACTAATAAAATTTAAAACTTTTTCAGATGTAACATGACATTTAAACAACTCAAGTCAACAGTTGGTATCCATCCTACAGTGGCTGAAGAATTTACTCGCGTTCAAATCTCTAAGAGATCAGGAGTTGATCCCAGACCGCAAAGCTGTTGCAGTTAGAGATACATTAAACTTTTAAATAATGTTTTCATCTTTCTGTGGTTGAGAAGGATTGACACAGTTATTCCAGTTCACATATTTAATTTTGCTTTTTTTACACAATTCTACTTGTATATAATGTAATATCTGGAAAACCTGATGCTTGTGATTTATAACACCTTGTAACTATTCTTCTAAATATTTCCTCTTGTATAGGATTTCTCTTAACTACTAATTTCATTTGCTCATGTACTTTAAAAACAAAAAGTGATTTTTGACGTTAGTATAAAAACACTAATACAAATTTTTTTATAAACTTTTAAGTAGACACCAGAAAAAAATTTTTATGGTTTTATTATTTGAATAATAAACTATTTGCGAAGCAATAAATGTCATTGTTAATCTTGAGAAATTCGTTCTTTGTTTTCAAGTACCCCAAAAACTATATCATCATGAAAAACGTTATTCAATAGGTATACTTAAATTAGCTGATTAGCAATATATCACCTTACTTTCAAAAATCGAATCAAATACATTTTTCTATCGAAATTCCGGGCAATATTACAGATAATATACTATATGAAGTGCTTAGAGAATCGTGATTACGATAACAGCGTCAAGATAATGTATTACATAGTCGAGTTTATTGCGACGATTACAATAGTTCATTTTTTCGTACTCTTTACATTGGTTAGCAAGCATGAATTTCTTATTCATTTTACTTTTATTTGGATTTTTCACGGGTAAGTCGTTATTTTGTTGCTAATCCAATTACAAACATAAAATTTTCAATATGCTCAAACACGTAAACTTTTGAGTTCATTGGTTCATTTTTTTAATTTGACAGTAATTTGAATATATTGGCAAACTTTTCGAATTTTTTTTCTATAGCTCATCAAGCTGCTCGATTGCGCAGCTTAAATGGCATACGAGTTAACGAAACCACAGAATTTCCTTACCAAGCATCGTTCCAACTTAACCGAACGCATTTCTGTGGTGCTGTTTTGATTTCTGACCGGCATGCATTAACGGCGGCCCATTGCGTCCAACCGATCGTCGACGAAGGAAAGTCCGACTTTGCTCTATCGATCGAAGTCGGCGAGAAAATCCTTGGTTCTGGTCAGTCTTACGCCGTTGAACGCATATCTTATCACAAGGACTTTGTGAGAAATTCTGATCCAATTTTTATGCCCAACGATATCGCCGTCATTCGTGTAAGTTAACGTTTCCGTGCATTAACTTGGTCCATGAAAAACCCGTGGCTTTGATAGTTTTTCCTTCTCGCAGCTAGCTAAAAGGGTCGAGCTTTCCAAAAAAGTCCTGCCGATTGATTTACCCGGGCCAAACGATGAAACCCCAGAAAATGCCACGATAATAACCAGTGGATATGGCAGCGCAAAGCGTATCCAAGGCTTTCTCTCGCCGATGTTGAGAAAAACCAAGTCCTTTGCTTTGGACAGCGAGGAGTGCTGCAAAAGTAGGCGTCATCAAATCTGCGACCTCACGATTAATCACATATGTGGCCGAGTGAACCGCACGCGTGGCACCTGCGTCGTAAGTAGCTCGATCTTACACATGCTTTAAATGAACTTAATTATGAATTGAGTCTAATTTTTTATAGGGTGACAGCGGTGGACCTGCAGCGAGTGGAGACAGATCTGTGCTGATCGGAATAATCAGCGGGTCAGGAACTTGGTGCGGCAACGGACTTCCGGACATTTACACCAAAGTTTCCCATTATATTCCTTACATTAGGGGCGAACTTTATCGAGAGGACAAGAGCATACATCCTCACGTGATCATTGCACCCGAGAAGATCGAGCTTCTAGAGAAGGTCCCTCGCTGGTACACGAGAGAGCGAATATTAAGATATTTCGCCTTGAATTTGATACAAGAGAGCATCGAAACGGAAATTATCAATGCCCCTAATTCGCCAATAAATCCTGATAGAATGAAAAAAATGTTCGAACTGGGTTTAAAAGTTCAGTCATTCTTCGATTGGATGGATAAGGTCATTGCTAACAAGCATAAAGCGTGAAAGTATTTTATCGAGTGAAAACAAATTTCATCTGCATTATGCGCTTTTTTATTCTTGTTAGGTAATAATTACTCTGTTGGATACACTATAATCGAAAGAGGAGCACACACTTTCGAAGTACACTTATAATTTCATTTTTCTAACAATCCTCATATACAGAAATGTTTTTTTTTTTTTGCAAAATCAACAAATATATACCATATATTATATAATTTGCGCATACTTTGATTGCCTTGTTCGTATAACATAAGCAGTTCTCATTTTTACTCAATATGGATGTACATTCACTTTAGATTTTTACACGAAATTCGGGTTTATTTTTAATTCTTTTTGTTAGTTATAGTAGTGATAATAGTATCAATTGTAATATGTTTAATTATATGCTATGATTTACATATATTATAATTGCATTTATAAATACATCACACACTTTCTTATTTACAATTCTCCGTACTTTCCGAATTCATTACTTTCACATTATTCATACATAATCTTACATTTGCTCGCATACTTACATATTCACCCACACGTTTTAAAGTTTAATCGAGGTAGAATAAATTGAACGCACTCTACTAATTTGAAGCGAAAAATAATTAATTGAATTATATGGTTATGCTTTTCGACGCCTCAAACTCTTGTCAATTTCAAATGCCTACGTAATCCTATTCTTGTTACAAGCTAAAGAGCAAAAATCAAAACAATATAAATTGATTTAGGAAAGATCGAAGATAATAGAACATTATGAGTTACGACGTAAATTTCAAAAAAGTCAAAATTAAATGTACCAGACAAAGGCACTACAAAAAAGATAATTGAATCATAAAAAATAATTAAAATGGAAAATGTATACAATGCATAAAAATCAACGAGTCAGGTGCACGTGTTGCCATCGAAATTCAAAGGTTCACATATGAACCATTTATTTTTCAGACTTCGCGTATCAATGATAAACTTTTTTTTATTCTTTAGTCTTTTTTCACAGTTTTATCGCACACATAGACTTATTTTTAAAAGGATAAATGATTCAATAAGTAAATTGATTGTTCGATTATTTATCTAAATCTAAATAAAATACATGATAATATAAAGTGCTTGAACAATTTCCAGCATTGCATTTTTCTACTATAAATAATTCTTATAGGAAATTCAGTTTATTGTGATCTTTCGCACAGTGTAAAAGACTTGATAAAAAGTCATGTTCATATTCCAAATTCTCTTGTTATATATAAAATTTCTCATCTATCTACTTTTCATCTCCTTTAAATGGTTTTTTTAACGAAAATTTTTTGTGCTCAAGTAATAAAAGTCAAGCTTTTTCGTAGTACAATTAATATTATACACGTGTCATCGCTCGTTAAGTTTTTTTGAAGAAAATTTTCTCGCTCGGAGGAAAATAAGATTAATGGCAAGCAAAGCTCTAACACTTTTAATCGAACTTCGAAAAGCGTTAACGAGTTCTAGCATATCCCGGAACGCGATAGTATACAACTACTTGATTCAAGCATCGTATAATCAAGTCGCTTTTTTCAGCGCTTCATTTTCATGAACTCCTGAAATAATAATACTCGCTAGATCTTGCTTATTATCATACAGTTCATAATTCTTTTCTGTACAAAATTCGATGCAAGACGAGCGGACACTTCGATCACTTTGTGCCGTTGAGTCGTTTATAATAGGCAATTACATACAAAAAAGCTGAGTTAGAGTTGTAAAAATTAATTAAATAAAAATTTTCGTATAACCATAAATAAATTATAATTTCGTACTCAAAAAAGTGTTTATACAAATCAGTGTTACAATGTTTGCACGTCGATCGTGGCGGTACAGGCAATTTCCTTCCCGATACACTTATATCTACTGCGATTGTGTACATAAAATAAAAAAATACCTAAGTAATAAATCAAATGTTAAAGCTTGATATTGGCAAATCCGCTCGCCTTATACAAAACATAAAATATATAATACACATGTATTTGTTACCTTAAACAACGACATTCCGAATCACGCCCAATCAAAGTTTGTTATTACGTATGATTAAGTGACCAGAACCATTAGGGCGAAAAAAGAGAGAAAAGAATCACACACGCACGCACGCGAGACAATGAACATAAATATCGTTCTCTATAGTATATATAATATTACTATATACAAAACTTGTATATAGAAGCTGCATAATAATAACATACACATATGCTCTGTACATCGTCGATTTTTTCTTCTTTTCATCTCTTTTACTATTTCCAATTTTTTTATGTCATTCACGAGCCTTGCGTCTCTCGTATTTATATCAAAAGGGGATTCCAGACTACTGTCCCTTTTCTTAATTTTCTTTCTTCACGATAGTTTTTTTGATCCGATAAACAATCACTTTTCCAAACGTGGTTAAACTACGCCCAACGATAGTGTGAGCAATATTATGGTGAGACTGACGCTGATTCCTGCAGCACCGCCGCCAGTTTCGGGCAAATCACTGTCGTCATCTGGTGAGATTCGGTCTGAAAATAACAATTTTTTTACAAATATTAGGCATTGCACTTTACGAGTTACTGATTTAGCTGCATAAATAATATATATCACGCGGCTCGTTGAAATCAACAGCCCTGGCCCTGAAAGCGAGGACCAAGGATTATTGGCTCGCGCACAAAAAAAGGACCACATTTAAATGAGCTTTTAGAACCCGAAGCTGCATGCCAAAGTTTAATTTATTTTCATAGGCAGAAAGTATTAAATGATATAATTTTTGCCTATAATTTTTGCATCTCTTTTGCATCTCGAATTCTACATTATACTTATCAAAGTCTTATGAAATAAGCTTAAAAAACCGGTATTTCTCAACTTTTCAAGTCAATGTCATTTTTAGCTTTGCAACGTATTTGACTCTCTCGCGGCTTAGGGAAGGGTTGAGAGAGAAAAAACAAACTTTCAAATACTAGCCATAAAAAAGTTGTAAAACTGTGCAAGCACTCACCATTCCTAGTTGGTCCCATTCCAGAACCCGAGGCCTCTTCGTCGTCATCTCCGACGTCGTCCTCCTCGTCTTCGGTATCGTCCGGCTCGTGACCGGGTTTCCTCGACCACATAGGACTGTCGCCGCTACCCGAGCCTTCGAGGCCCTCGTCGGCTAGTAGCACACTGGGATCCGGGGCCATGCTTAGCTGCGACTGCACCACCTGCAAAATTAAACGCCGAGTTAAGTTTGCATTAATCAGGATAAACGAGAAAGATTATATACATAGACACTGGAGGTGGAGCGTTATAAGGTTTATCGCTGGTAAACGAGCCTTCGAAGCTTTGATGTTGTGCTACCTTTGTATATAGCTAGATGAGTATTACATGCTATAACCTGGGGATATAAGGATAAGCGAGAGCTTCTACTGCCGTTGCTACGTATAGTAATAGAGAGAGCTTTCGGGCTAAGATTAGTGAGGATTTTCGCCAAGTTCCGAGCGCCAGTGTATGGGTATTACGCGTGTATCGATGGATCCTGACGGAGATATAATGTGTAAAAGAGTTTTGGTATCATCTTAGTTGTTGATATTTTTTTTCTTCCTTCAAACATGTCTAGTTATTCAACAAATTAAAAAGACACTGCAATGCTGAATGGAAATTGAGCGATAAAGGAGGACATCTTCGACGCTTCAGGTTTACACAATCGTTTAGGGAATAATTAACCCGGATATCGTGCCCGAGCACGTAATTGGAGTTCTCGCGCGGTGCGCGCGGCATTTAAAAGATTGCTTTTGTGTTGCTCGCTGCACCTTTGGGAATGATAATGACGATCGCTCGTTCCAGGTGTAATGATTTTTTAAAAGAATTTTTCACCGTTTCAAGCCACGAGCGCTTCCAAAAAAACGTCTCGATTAGCCAGAGGTCATTTAGACGCGAGAGAAAGAAAAAAAAAGAGATGATAAAAAGACCTCCGAGCAATGCATACGCGCAAAAGAATGTAAATCATACGTTTTATTGCCTCGCGGGGTAGAAAATGCATCACGAAAATATATATCATTTATAATAACAATAGATACATGCTATATTGCGCCGGCGTGTGTTGGGTATATTACACACACGCACCAGTATGGGCACATGTGAAAATGACTCACCTGATTGATGTGTCTCAGTTGGTCGATAAGGACACTCGTATTGTCATTACTGTAGCCTTTATTGCTCGACGCAGACGTCATGAATGCAAACTCCGGATTGTATTTCTGCGATATCAGGCTCGAATCGACCACTGTTTTGGCGTATCTGCAAGTATAGAAGAAAAGAAGAAATGAAAAATTTATTTCGAGAAAACAAACACGCGGGCGTTTGCGCGCCCGTCGGTGCTGCACTGCGTCTTTTAAGTGCTCGCAGCAACAGCGAGAAAAGACATAAAAATTTGCTACCAGCTTATTACAATGAAACCGTCAATATGGATGTATTTTTCTCTGCAGGACCATAAAGCCGCGATTGTTTTACGAAATTTTTTATGCACCGGGTGTTAAGGTGTTCTCTCTGGTTTTTTATTGCGCTATACAGCAGGTTGATTTCATTCGCAATTTCTTGCAGGTAATTCGATAAACACAAGCGATACTTTTCTCACAACTCTATTGATGCGTGAAATCGCGTAATGCACTCTGCCCGATGCTAAAATTTATAACCCGATAAGAGTATTTTTCAGATTTATTGTAATAAATAACGTTAAATCTTTGTAATGAAAAGGTCAATCGAGATTCGAAAATTAATGAGTCTGTGTACATCCGATTCTGATAATCGACAATCAACTTTATAAATATTAAAAAAAATCCTGTCGAGAACATGGAATGCAAAAATAAATGCAGATCTTTTTATAAAAATTTGGTTAAAAATTTAAACATTTTGACGAAAAATATTTACAAACACACATCATCTCGCTGAAAAGTTTATTTATCGTCTTCAATTGAGAAAATTCAAGAGCGTCATCGTGGGTATAAGCAGATTGTCAAGAAAGCCGAAACGCACGTTATGTAAAAGCATTAAAAGGAGCTGCTTTAGAGGTTGTCCAAGACACTTGAACTTCACTCTAACAATAGATTTGGAGAGAGCTTTGGCTTTATGCTTCTAAAAGGGCATACAAACACAGCCCCCGGAAAATGCTCGCTTTATGCTAAATCATCGATGTGTGCTTAGTACGTCAAAATAATGTATTTTCTACAACTGACTGACATGAAATTGTGAGCTTATCAGTTGGTGAAATTTTATTACTTTGATGCAAATTTCGTATGTGTATAAACGACGTTAGAAAAGTTTTTTCGTTTGCTGACTGCGTCGTTGCGAGCTTGTATCAATAAATCAATGGACGAAAAAATTCGACGCCAAAAGAAACTTTCTTCCGTATTGGCAGTTCCTTTCATTGCAGAAATAGATATATAACTTTTCCAAGTAAATTTTTACTAAGGATTCTCGACTAATGGAAAAATCACTCGCGAGTAATAAGATGACACTGTTGTAGAAAAAAATATCATTAAAGTTTCGAGTCGAGGTAGAGAGGAAAAATGAACTTACGACGAAACAACTATTACGGGCTTATACGACTTGCGAGAAAAGACCATTTCTCCGGGCAGACGAGAGAGCATCCGTCGCAAGTTAACCGACAATTTGCCGTGATGGTAGGAGGCAAAAAAGCACCGAGTATGACACTCGAGGATTAATTAGGCGCAAAAGAGTGACGTAAATAGGAGGGAATCGATCGATAAGCCGACGTCTGCGGCTGTCTAGCGGGATTGATCTTCGAAAAATAGCCCGACGATTCTGTCGTATGAAAATTCCATTCAAGGAGTTGCTTTCTCACGCTCCTTGACTCGGGAATTTTAAAGACGAACGAGACAAAAAGTCGCGCGCGGTGTGCTTTAATTTGTGGCCGATACGCGAGCAAGAACGACTAGGTAAGAAAAGCGAGCTTCGGAGCTGCATCGGCCAACGTGCTTGTGTTCATTTTTCAAACGCACGGCAAAATCGCTCAGGGCGGGATTATTAATCTACGTAACAGATGCATTGCGGCGGCGGCGGATCATCGCTCGATGACTTGACTTTGAATTTTCGCGACGACGCGCGAGCGCATAACTATTAATCAGGCTTTCGGCTGCTGCAGTACGAGTTAGGAATGCGAGTCGTGTCGTCTTTTTTCGTTTCTTTTCAAAAGCTCAACCGTACACATGATGAATATGTATCGCTCGCTCTGAAAACTGATAAAATAATCGAAAATAAATCAGTGTGCGGGAGAGAGAAAGAGACAGAGCATTATTAAAATGGTAAAATGATTGAACTTCTGTGGTAGATGTATAAACAGAATCGATAATGGAGCATTATTTCAATTTGCAATAAATCTCGTTATGCACACCGCGTATATATAAAGCGAAAAATATCGCAGCTTTACATATTCGTCGACGCGTGCGTTGATTTATTAGATTCGATAAATATTAATCGCTCGTTAATCCTTGGGCGCGTATTAAAAGAAAAAGGAGCAGCAACAACTTTCTGCGGCTCAAGTCTCGCGATTCTAATATTATAATATGCGCAGGACGGATGGAAATAGAAATCAATCATTCATTTGGAACGTGTCCGAGCGTAATTTATTAGCCGCGCGGCACACGTTTTTTTATTTTGCCAAAGAAATGAGTATATATATCCGTTGTGTTACTCGCGTAACTGAGCAATTATGGTAATCGCAGGCGTCCCGATGTGTTTATATTCGACGTAATGGCGCAAACAGAAAAATGCCCGAGGCGTCGATAAGACGATTTTATTGAAAAGGAAAGAGAAATAAAATCGTCAAAAGTTTAAAAGTTGATTGATGTTGTCGTTAGTCGTTAACACATGCCGAAGACATAAAATTAACGCGTCTCCTCGAGCTTACAAAAAAAAAGCTAGAGCGGAGGAAAAACACTTTTAAAAGATTATTCACACGATTGTGCGCTCGAGGATTTGGACAATGGGCTCTGCGTTATACAAGGTACACATCGCTCACAAAAGCCGTGGTGAACGCTCGGGTAGCTGGGCTTTCCAAAGGGCCACTTCAGAGCAAATGCAGACGACTGTTTTTGCAGCTTTATACTGCCTTTCAACTCAACTGAAATCACTTGGCAAATAATTATTTTTTGTTCCTGAAAAATGTGCCTCGGCCAGAGTGTTTTCAAGTGCGTGTCCATATCGCAATATCGCGTGACGGCTATGTAACAAGAGCAAAAGCCACGAAAGTTGGCCGAGAAAATATTCAGGAAGAATTAGTCGACGTATCGCTGGCTGAAACCCTTCGTTGATATGCGCGTTTTTGACTATTTACTGTATCATCTTACTGCGCTGCGATGACACTGCCTGGCTCAAGTATCGACGAAACGAGTAATACAATCTCGGAGTATCGATATAGAACTCGCGCAAAAAGGCGTAATGATTCTACGGACGGTCATTTTTTTCGGAATTATCGACTATCTTTTGTCTTTGGCTCTTTGCTCACACCCAAAGCTGCATCGCCGATTCTTCATTATTATACAATGTAAGCAACGGAGAATCGAGAGCTCGATAATACACACTCGATACGTGTGCTTATTAAAATAATGTTTTAACATAACAATCGACTTGTATGCGTACGGGGCCGTGCTCGATAAATGCGCTGAAATGACAACACCTCGACTCATTATTAATCCATATTTATTGCTGCAACGCCGCGAATGGATGAGTTTATAATACTGCTGCAGACTCCATTCAAATGGCCGTCAGACTGTATGCGAGCGTCAATCGACACGATAATATCTTAGAATACCTATTATAATTATTTGCAAGAGTCTATTTTGAGAGAGAGAAAAAAAGCGAGTCTCTTTCATAAAACGAATAAGAATACTGCATTCATGCTTGGAGAGTACACATTTTAGCATGTCAATAAAACCACGTCTTTATGAATTGCAGCTGGTCTTTTCTCCGGCTTTTTTCCGATGTGGCATTTCTAATGTATGCAACGCTTGGCGCGGCGCGGAATCAATCGACGACGCGCAAACGAGTTTTTCGTTTTGTTATTTCAATCGTACTGGCGATCATTTGCGACAAGTAATTTTTATTTGTCATGCACGATACTCGCCGCGGCATTCTTCGCGCTGGAAAAGATGCTCACATGTGAATAAATCAAATCGAAAGATCGCGTAATTTTCCTAGCGAGGCCTTATGTCATCGCGCTCAGTAATCGTCTCCGGCGCCGCTGGCAAGTATGATACATTGACTCCCTTGGACCGACAAAACGTCGTGTAGCTCGACGCTCTCGAGTGTAAAAATTTTTCCCAGCTGAATTTTGACAGGATCGCGCGAACCTTGGCCTAGAGGGCAAGGACTGCATGGTGCGGTTCAGTAAATGGACACAAGCGTCGTTCGGAAAACTCGCTCAAGGACGCGAGACGATCAGCAACGGCAAAACTCCGCGAGGGATGAAATACGAGTAAACGAGCTTTTTGTTGCCGTCCTTGGTTTCCTAGATTGCCCTCGGCTCGACGCGGATAGAGCTTTTTGAGACATCTTCCAAGTGAACTAGCAAACTTTTTTCATCGCGTTTAAGTTAATCGATACATTACGAGCCCGTTAAAAAAAAACATTATAATAGAAGTACGTGTATAGTAAAGTCATCGCGAGTGAGCTGACGTATACACGCGCGTGCATCAAATTCATGTCCCACTTTTCTCGACATTTTCTGCACGTTTTCTTACGTCACATATATACTTTCATAATATTTACGGGGAAATTCCGACTTTTCTCTCGAGACAGCTGCTGCGGTTATGCTCAATAAAAAAAATAAAGATAAAGCAGTAATTTAATTAAACGCGATGTTAGAATATTTATAATTCAGATTTTATTAATTTTTTTCCAAGGAACGCTCCGACTTCCGAGTGACGAGTTTTCAATTTAAGGCAGGAAGAATATCGATTTACTTTTCACTCAATATTCGTCGAAAAATTAATTTTAAGCCAAGATGCCTCTAATAAGCGAATTAATACATTTTCATATTCTATCTTTGCATATCTAAATCCACTTTGATACTTCAATCAAAGCCGTACGTTTGAACTTGGATGAGTAAGTTAATTTCGCACGAATGTTATTCGAATCGCATCTTCTTTTTGTCCTCTATCTCGAGGCGACTACTCCTTGCATACCTGTCTCGCGCGAGAAAAAAAATTATGCAAATCCTTGGAATTAATAGGCGATCACGACCATGTGTCGAGGGAATATTAGCGGCGATGAGTGTGTCTTTCTCTTGATCTCGTGTGACTAGAAAAAAGTTGACGCAACAACGTGCGCGCTGATTAGAGGCGAGGATTTTTTTTAACGAGACCTCGCGCGCATAAATAGCGGGAACAATAATGTATGTATAATGGCACTCGAACGCACCCCCTGGAGCGGAGGAAACGATCGTTACGCAACAGCTGCGCTAACTCGCTGGTTTCCTGCTGCCCTTCGGGACGATAATATGTAGAGGCACTCGAGAGCTCGTGCGAGTTGGGTGTAGCTCTCGATTGTTTTCAATTAGCGCGGGTTGCTTGTCGTCTCGGCTAGAAAAATCGCCGAGTTATTAGCACGAGCGCCGCATTGGAAACTCGTTCTCGAAATGATAAATTCGCGAGCTTTTTGCCGAGGCCATTCACATGCGTACTTATGTGCAGTGGCGTTGTCATTGTAGGTACGCTTTACGCCTGTATTTATGCAACTGTGTATTAGCGAACTCTGAGCCAGCGGCTGCGACTGCCACTGCAATAGCTGCATTAATTATATCTAATCATTTAACGAGTTTTACAAGTATTGTAGAGGGAGGAGGCGAGAGATAGACAGAGTCGCTAAGTTGTCGTAGTTACGGGTGCGATTATTACTTTCGTAACTAACTCGTTTGCACCTCCGCAATTCCTATTTGCGCGAGTGCATATAACTGTCTGTCTTGCTGGTTCTTCGTCAGAGCCATTATCAATTTTTTAATATTTCTAACGACACTTGATTCAATGCGAAATTGAAAAGAAAGATTTCCTAGACCAAAAAGAAAAAGATGCCTCGGGCACTGGAGTAAAAAAATGCGAAAAATCAATTTTAACTCGTGGAAAATTGATCAAATAAAGCTCAAAAGCTGCAAGAAGATTTTACGTGCATTCGGAGGATAGGGAGAAAAAATCCTAAGTTAATCGAGTTTTGGTAAGCAATGCAACGTACAGTCGTATAGAGTTAGCTGGTTCGTCGCTCTCGGTCGTTGATGCAATAATAAGTCAAGTTATATTACAGCTCATTTGAGTAACAACAACGATTATGCACTCATAAAAACATTAAGTTTTAATGCTACATACGTACAAGTTGCAATAATCATCTTAATTTAAATATATGTAGAGCATGCCGTATACATCTGTCTACGGAACGGCAGGACGGGTAATGAAGTGATGAATGAAGACACGAGCACTTAAGACATGAACGCCCGAGAGTACTTGGCCGATCTTTAGAACAAATTTTTGCCTCTTTTTCTTTTCCTTCGCTAGCAAGGCTTTAAATATATTCCAAGACGAGAAATCTTGACAGGTCTCATAATCGATACGATGAATGGAGAAAGTGTCCGAATGTGTAAATACGAGCCTAGGGCCTGTGATCGATGAATTCGAGTGGGCGAACGTGAGTCATTGATTGCGCGGTATGCCGCTAACTTGGATTAATCCGCGCGTTATACACAGAGGCGATCAATCGCGAGCAATTTAACGTGAACAATGTATACGCAGGAATCGCGTACAGAGCGCGCAACTAGCGATACTGCAGAGCGTCTGTGGGCTATGACCTCGCACGAGGAAAGTTTCTCTCTCTCTCTCTCTCTCTGTCCATTGCGCGTGCAAAAACAGTATATAGCGCGACGAAACGGCGCCAGACATTTCGGCGGGCCAAAACTCTAGACTATAAAATAGCGTTCTATATAAGCGCGACGAGCGTTTTCCTTTTGCATCGCCCACGCAAATCGCTACTGCAGCCCGACAGCGTAGCAGCAGCAACGAGACCGCGCGGCCGAAGGTCTCGCAACGATCGAGCGCGAGCATATAGCTACTGCTTTTTGTCGAGATGAATTTCCAATGCGACTCGTAGAAGATTAATTGAGACGCGCTGTAAAACGTCCGATGGATTCACCGATCATCGTTTCGTAAGGAAATAAAAATGAATATATTCCATCAAATATCGCGGAGAACCAGTTAAAGCGTTGCCACTTTGTTTTAATATTCAAACGTACAATCGACCTGCACGTACAGTTTGTACGTTTGATCGCTCCTCTTTTCTCGCGCCAAATCTCTATATGAATTATTCATTCCCCGTGCAAGATCAAAAGCCAAAGAGGCAGGAAAAAAGCCAGCGAGAGGAGCGTAATACGGCTACTTCGAGCCTCGACGAAATTCTCTTTTTCTCGCTCGACATCTCCATCATCGGATTATCAACATTCCAAGATTATTATAATTTCATCAAATGTATGCATAATACGGAGCTTTATATACATCTACCCATCGCACTTGTTTGCGTTTTCGTGCTTTTTTTACTCGTCTCATCTTTTTTTTTTTGGCGCAAAGCAAAAAGGAAAAATCTTTCTTGTTTTTTTCTGTGTGTGTGTGTGTGTATGTATCAAGCTAACGAATCTACTCTGGGTAGCTGCACAAACATGCCTACATGGAGATGCACTTTAATTTCCCGTGCAACTACGCGACAACTGGCGTACGAGAAAAGCCCCGTACAGCACGGTGTACCCTTTCATATTTGTACGTGCGTAGGGGTGTGTCATCGTCGACGCTACTCTTCTTCCTCCTCTCTTTTTTCTGCATGGCGCGCGGAGCTTGCGAGACTTTGTGATTTTTGAAGTAGCTGTACATACCGCGCGCGTGTGTGTTCCGGACCTTTGTCGGAAGTAAAAAAAGAAGAGGCAAATTTTCAGCTTACAAAGCGAAACTCGCAGGACGCGTATACGCACTCGTGTATACGGCTTGTTTTTTCTCCGCGCGAGCAAAGCCCCTTGTTGATGATCGTCGCGTGATAGCGCACAAAAGCAGAGCGAAAAATGATAATTTTTACGCAAGCCAAATGGACTGGCGCAAGCTCGCGGAACATAAAAGTCGAGCTATCGATCGACGCTCGCTACGATTCCAACGAGAAAACGAAAAAGAAGAAGCAGAGACGATGAAGTAGGTCGTTCCGCGTTTTATGTATACATCTATATAGCGTATACGTATCGTCTATATCGTCTACGCAGCTCGCGAGCGCGCAAAAGATAGAAATCGTCATTCTAATTTTCGTTGGCGAGCTCGCAGCAGCAGCAGCAGCAGCAGCTCAAGATGCGAAACTGTATCCTTGACACAGTATGTTGGCACGACGACGACGACGACTGGTAAACGCACAATTTGGTCGTTGCGCGCGTTCGCGAGATCGTTTCGCCGTTTAATTACCCAATTGGCACGCGAACGAGTGGAGAGGGGTCGGGGGCGCACTTGCACGAGCTTCCACTCGAGAGTGGCAAATTACGAGCGCTACCGTGACTCTCGTAATCTAAGCTATCCGACGGTTCATCGTCGCGACGAGCTTAATAGCGCAAAATATTCAATCGGTTTTTCGTCGCTCGTGCATTACTGCAGCCGCACAAGTCGGTCTGTATCGCGCGCGTCTAGTATTACAAACTGCGATCGAACTGCGAGCGAGCGCGCCCGAGCCTCTGCACTGCATGCGCGCCACACAATGGCATACGAGTCATCGTCGCTACAAGTCCGCTCGAAAGAAAAAAATCTCGCTCGCACAGAGACTTTTTTGTCTCGCGTTTCTTTGGCCGTCGTCGTCGTCGTTGTTGCGCGAGCGGACCCTTTCGCATATCCGTGAGGTGTAGGTGTTGGGTTACATTTCGACCATCATCATCTGTAGCCAGCAGCAAGTAATGTAACGCGAGACGATAACACTATGCATGATCAAATCGACGCAGCGAGTGCAGCAGCGCCAACTCTCGCAACTCGGAGATGCAACTGCTTCTAGAGCACTCCCTCTATATAAAAGAGTATCCGATTGGGGCTCGTTCTGTTTTACGTAATACGTATACTCACTCTCCGACTCGCTCGCCGTTCCAGCAGGACCGTTCGGGGTAATCCTCGCATATGGTGTCGGCCAGGGTCCCGTAGAACGTCCTCGATCGATAGACGCTGGCCAAAAAGTTGCCCAATTGCGCGTGTAATTGCCTGCTCACCAGTATGCCCAGCAGCTGGCCGTTGGACCGAGGGCTCGACGAGGACGACGTCGACGTCGACGTTGGCAAATTTATCGACAGCGTGGACGTGCTCTCGAACTCTGGACGGCCGCAGATCTGCCGTACCTGCAAAAATATAAGCAAATTCACTGTTACACAAAAGCTAATCTCCAATTACGAACTTTCTCAATTTTCATTCGCAGCCTCTGTGCCGTGTACGTTCGTCGGACTACATTAAACTTTTGCTTATCCAGCGCGCGCTATATCCATATTCGGATAATGCAGAAAGGTGTACTCGCAGTTGGAAAAAGGCATAGGTAAGAGTCAGAGATACTATCGTACACGAGACTTGTTTGAACTTCTTTGAGTAAGCCACGCATATTTGCTCTTCTTTAAGTACGAACGTTTATTTTTCCAAAGAATATGGATGTCATTCATGCCAGTGGCAAGTGAAAATCTCCTATGCAACCGGGGCAATCTCGTGTGTTTAATCTCGGTTCGCGAAAAAAAAGCCGCACGCGAATCGCCCGAGAGCCACCTACTATACATGTAGTCGCGCACGAATTTCCGTAATAAAGACATAAAATCGCCGCCCTGGAGAGAAAAAAAAACTGCTGAGCGACGAGAGATAAGGCATCTGTATACGCGCGTCCCCTTCACACTAAGCGTATGCGAGAGAAGATGACGCGCCGAAAATCTCACGCAGAGACGAATGACACTTTGATCGAGCCTTGCGTATCAAGACATCTAAAATATGTCTTCGATGAGGTCTGCGCGAATTTGTACGACACACGGTAGCGTACGAAAGGGTCTCCGAAGGAATTCCGTCTTAATTAGAGATTAGGTACGATGCGAAATTTGTGATTTTTCGCCAGTTGACGTTACAATTCTTTTTCAATCGCATTTACGTTGTTGAATGAAAATATTAATAGTCTTTTGTTCTTGCGATAAGAATCGATTGCAAAGCCGATGCGTTATAGCCGTCTATTATGATATACGCGTATAGATTATTAGCGAATAAATAAAAATCCAACCATAATAGTACTAAATCACCGTTCTTATGGGATAAGTATTTATGTTTTCTCACTGTAAGAGGTCACACTTATATATTTACAATCGATTGAATGCTGAGACCGAATTGATCACGCGCCTTAACTATAGCAACTACATAATATCTGTCGATTTGTATTCATTTTCTTTGGTGTGTAAAATTTTTACTTCATTAATTGCTGTATAGATGCGCGTGAGAAAGAGAGCTGCGAACAAGAAGAGAAAACGACAGAGAGTTAGATAGAAGATAAAAAAGTACGTACGTCGATGAGCTCTGATAGGGAAAGTCATTAAACGCACTAATTGGTACGAGATCGAATGCGTTTTCCGATATTATTCGGGCCGGAGTAGGTGCTAAATATATAATACGCGAGCACGAGCTTTTAGTCAAATTCGCAGCGATCGGCAGCAGGGAAAATAAATTATTTTTGCCAAGCCGTGACGACTCGGGCCGCATATAAAACTCGTATAAATAGAGGCCAAGCGTAGGAGTCTTTCGAGACTCGAGACAACTGGAGATTTTCAACCGGTTGTCCGATTCGCAAGTGTATTACTCACTTGTATTATATATACTCGACGCAATATCTAAACAAAACGATAAAAGAGATGTCAGACAATCAAGGCGTGCACGGATCGCGTCTACGGCTTCCTAAATCCTCTGACAATTTGTGCGACGCTCCAGCGTATTATCGTAAAAAGATCGTGTGGGAGACGCAGCAACGACATAAGAAAAAAGCCGAGCGACAAATTAATCCGCCGCGGAGCTTGCAAGGCCATTAATGCACGCGCGATGGTGTGAACGAACGATAATCTCGCGCTGTACGCGCTGCGGCCATTTGAAGCGGCACGCGAGATCATTGCTGTATATAATAATACATATAAAGTGTGTGTGTCGTACAGATATCGAGGCATTGCACTCGAGCCCCGCGTCGAGTACGTATGTACGTTAAATTTCAACTGCTGAATAAATGCAGCCTCGCGCTATTGTTGCAATAAGCGATATCTAGTATAAGCTATTTCTAATAATTGATCGTTTCCCATGGCCAACGTTTTACCTCACGAGCACGAGTGTGTGCGTGTGCAGTGCTGCGAGATGCTTGAATTTACGTCGGATTTAATTTTGCGATTTGTATGCCGAAAATTAATTTGTCGTGATGCGGTAGAAACGTGTTTCGATTTATAAATGTACAAGTTTTCAATGAAATCATCTGGATTGGCGTACATTTTATGTGCGACATGCTGCTACATCGGCGCTGTACAATATAATACATAATATAAAGAGAACATATGTACGTGGGTCACCCTCTCTCGAATCATGAAGCAGTATCGTCTTATCGTATAGCTTTGGAATATTTTTTCTCTCTCGATTTTTCATCCAACGAATGAGAAACTCATCCATCGAATCTCGCGGCTAGAGTCTCTCTCCTCGTTTCTATCGTCGCTGTTTCTAGTCTTGTACATTCATCGAGCGCGCACTCCACGTCGAACACCATCATGTGTAATGAAAAGAAAAAAAAAAGAAAAACACTCGGGACTCATTCACCCGCAGAAGCTTCACTCCGCTCTTTGATGCAGCTTTTGATCTGTATATGCGCGCTTACGTACTCGCGCAGTACTTGCTCTCAAGTGGCCCTCTTTCGTCCTTATACTCTCTCTCTCTCCCTCTCACTTTTACGTGCACTTATTTTCATCGTGAATTTTTTTTACTCCTCCGAATAACAGCGGAACGCGCTCATATACGCGTTTCGGTCGAGTCTCGCGTTTGAGTTATCGAGGCAGCTTTGCGATATTAAGATGTAGGCGAAAATAGGTGTGTGAGTGTATGGCGTTTAAATCGTAAAATATATTGATCCTGTCGTAAATCTTTATTAACATATCAGCTTTTAATACTGCGGCCGTTGTTGGTTATACTGTTGCTGAAGCTGCTACTGCCAGAGCGACAAATCCAAGCACCTGCGGTATTTTTCATATTCACTATATTTTTTGCTCGTCGGTAGTTAGGCTGAAAATGACTTTTGATAAACGACGCGAAATTGAGCAACGCGATCGCGCCAATTGAAATGACTGAATTTCCAATAAAGACGTGGAACTCTACAGATTTTCTCGTAAAAATTTCTCAGAAAAATACGCGTATAAATATTGAAATGCAGCGCGGCGAAGCCGTAGCGCTAAAGTCAGAGCGAGACTGCGAGTTCAGAGTGAGAGAGAGAGAGAACGAGCTACGTAGCTTCGCAGAGAATAACCCCCGGAAATCGCGGAGGCTTCGATTCAATAATTACGGGGTGGCCGGAAACTCGTAACAGGCTTCGCTGCGCGTACTACGCATTACATCGTGGCGGCAAAGTAAGGGTTTCAAGTTGACGTGGGAACGTCGCTGGTTAGCCCCAGCCGCGTATGGGTCTTCGTTCGATTTAGAGACGCCGCGCGCGGCTTTGTCTTTATGTATGTATGCACGACGATATGCTAGTTCTGGTACTACTACTACTGGTAAGTATATAGTACATATATACAGGCACGGCCGCGACGTAATTGATTGATTTGTCCAACAATGCCTCTATACGTATTTATCGTGTATATATCGTGCGAATTATTCCAGTGCATATAGAGGCGCGTATTTGCGTTGCGCGATCTGTTTCGTTTTTCGCCGTATTTCGCCGAGAGAGAGAGACTGTACATGCATATCATCGACTATTTCAAAGCAGCAGCGATCGCGTAGCGCTATTTTATCGCCCGAGCCTTCTGCGTATTTTCTAGCTATTGTCGCGCGCGCTCGTCGCTCTACGCCAATGAAAGGAAAATCGGCGAGTGCGCGACCGCACACATGAATTATATCGTTGCATAATCGCCGCTCTATCGCCTATACAGATTAATATAATCTGCAGCTGCAGTCGTATCGTTTTACGGCCACCGTACGCACGTCGCACGCGCGGAGGATATGAAGCTGGGGCGCGAACTGCGGCCGAAAAAATGCGAGAAAATTCCGCGTTGCCGAATACGTAGCCGCGCGGCACACGGCGCATAAGCCATTATCCGCCTCATTTCATAAAATATATAAATTTAATACAGAAGCGCGCCGACGCGCGCGAATGTGTCTGCATAATAACGATAAGTTTCTTAAAAACACTTGCGGTGTAGGCTGGGCTGCAATACACGGCGCGGCTGCAACCACAGACTTTGTAAGAGCTCGTTTTTTTTTCTCCGCGGATCGAGTTGCCGCGCGTATAGCCCAAGTGCAGCCGCGAGCGCCGTTATGCAGCCTGCGTGTATTAATAAAAATGCAACTCGCGCCTTACCGAGAAAGTCCCAGGACAAATGAAAAGCGACCGAGCGCAGAGACAGGCTGTGTCGGCGGCCATCGTTTCGATTAACTATGATATTCCAGTGCAGCTCCATAAGATGGCTCTTTCCGGCAGAATAAGCCTCAACCGTACTCCACGCGATTATTTAAACTTATTTTTTTCCATCGAGCAATCCTGCGAGCGAACAAAAATAACATGGAAAATCAATTTAGAGGCTTTCGCACGTGCGAAGGGAGAATTTTCAAGCGCCTTATACGCACACATACATCTATGCTGGGCGCAAATTGATCGACTAACAGACAGTCGAGAGCTCTGCGTGCAAACGTGAATTTTTAGCACGCACACAATCGAGCCAAGTGCGACGACCTACTTCATTTGAATTATTCAATATTCCGGCATATGAACCCCGACGAATTGCGCATCTCATAGTTACCCCTAAATCAAAGATCAAAATCATCCCGACTATCGTCTCATTTTTCAAAGTTTTTGTGTGTCGAGAGCTGATATATCCAATGCGGCGCCGGAATAATTAATAAAAAATTTTGATTACGAATTATACGCGAATCCGCGCGAGCGAACAGGACAATGAAAGGAAGAGCAAAGTAGTCCGTAATTAAGACGCGTACATTATCGCTCGGGCTATTCGGCGAATCGATAAGTTGGATTTCTTTGAAAGAATATACGCATATATACGCGAGACTCGAGATGGATTTTTATTCGAAATATTACCATAATGAAAAAAGGAGGGAGAAGAAGTCTAAAAGCGCAATCGCGTAA